CGCCGCGCTGTAAGCGCTTATCGACGCTAATGCCGAGCACACGTCCGATATACTTAGTACTACTCGTAGTACAATTGTACGTGTCGCTATAGTATGTAAAGCTAATAAAGTCCGTAGGAAAGATTAGACCGCTAGGCAAGCTAATAAATTGCTTCCAATCTGTTAGTACCGCTAGCATTAGATCTTGTTTATTAGATCTAATAGCCTTAGCTCGCTTACCCTAACTCTTGCTTAGCTTCTTTAGAAGCCTAGCTTAGTATGCTGCAGGCTTGCTAGCAGCCGGACTAGCACTATATAAAGTGCTTAGATCCGCGCTCGTTAGATCCGCGTTCGTTAGGTACCGAGCGAATTAGCTAGAAGTTGTACGGATCGAGCTTGCCTACGCTATAGACTGCTATAGATACTTAGGTACGTTAACAAAGTGCGCTATGCCCTAGAAGACTTTGCCCGTAAACTAAGACACTAGCATACGAGCGAATAATTGCCGTAGATTAAAGAAGTAGAGTAGTTCTATAGCATTGCTATTACCCGCAGATTTAGAGCTAGCTAGCAGTGTTAGCTGCTTCTTCTCTTCGAGTGTGACATTCTTATAACGTAGATCTAGCAGTAGGAGGACTAACTTAAGGTGCAGCTTTAGCGTGTTAACGGTCTCTAGTAGCTCGTTCAAGCTAGTATTAGTAGTAGAGGCAAAGATCGTACGAAGTGTCGAGTAGTCCGATCGTAAGATACCTGTCTCCTATATCTAGAGAGCGAAGGCTAGTTTAATATTAGTAATACGAAGAGTCTTATAGTCTTTCTTCTAGTCGAGGACTTCTAAATTGTTAACACTAAATAGGCCGCCGCTGCTTAATAGTACTGTTTGATTTAGAGGTAGCATTAGGCTATACTATATAGTCGGATTAAGCTCTTCGGCTTTATCGTATTCGGCACCTAGTGCGACTACGTCCTTACTAAAAAAGTCATTATTATTATAGTCGTCGTTATTTAGGCCGCGATCTTAATAGTCCGCTAACTAGATTATTTCGGCATTATCGAGTTAATCTTCGTAATTAGGCTAGACCTACAAGTTAGCTAGTTCGAGGCTTAATTCGGCGGGCTTTATCTTAGTAATAGGCATCTTAGCGACAGGCATCTTAGTAGGCATTATATCGATATCGCCGCTATTAGCGCCCTCGATAGTCTATATAATATCGTCCGCATCTAGAATTAGGTCGTTATCTTCTATACTAGCGGCACCGCCGAAATTATTAGTATCGTCCTCGCGCGTGCGCTTAGTACTATAAGCGGACTCGGATTGCCTATCGGATAGTCTAGGCTCGGCTAAGGTCGTTAGCGCCGCTAGCTGTTGTTGTTCTAGCTGCTTAGGCTTAGGCATATTCGCCGGATCTAGCTATCCTAGGTAACGGTACGACATTATATCGCTATCGAGTCGCTTAAAGCTATAGTCGATATCGTAAGTAGTTTAAATGCTTTAGGTGTTCTTGTTCGAAGTGTTATTAGTATAGTAGAAGCAGAATTTGGAAGTGCGAGTTAGGTATTTATAGATAGGCGCTTGTAGCAAGGCAGGCGTAGGTACCCGCACACGCGCTACGCGACAAACACTGTATATACACGCGTTCTTTATATAGTAGCGTAAGTGAATTAAGTGCAGAGCCGTAAAGAAGACTTCCTATACACTTTGCGGCGCTATATAGCGGTTAGGCTAGGTTGTTCTCGTAGTGCATCCTTCTTTCTTTCGACTCGAAATCGCTACATAGGTCTTAATAGCAATAGAAGTCTTTCTGTATTTAGTTAGCGAGGTATAAGAACAGATCCTAGTTATTAGTCTAAGAAGTCGTATATTAATAATAATATATATAAAAATATTAAGTAGCAAAGCAGCAAAGTAGCAAAGCAAGTAAGCAAGTAGCGCCTACAGCGCCTATAGCGCAGACTAGCGTATATAATAATAATATAAATATAAAAATAAAGAAACTACTCCTCGTCGCTCTCGAAGTTAAAGCCGTCCTCGTCGGCGTCCGCGAGGGCCTTAGCGATATCTTTAGTCTATACGAATATAATTAGTAGTATGCTTAGACTTCTAGCTACGATACAACCTTTAATAGATTGTATTACTCTACGCACCTTTCGACCGCGATTACCGACCTACTTTGTCGGAGGGATACTATAGATATAGATTAGTACTGCTATTACACAACAACGATCTATAGTATAGTATACGTAAACTCGAAGTGCTCGCGGGTAAGCGTATCCTACTCTTTTATTATTCTATATATATATGTTAGTATAGGAGCATTACGAGCAGTATAAGCAGTATAAGTTCTAGTATTAAAGGTCGATTAGATCGATGTTTAGTATAGATATCTAGTCGTACGGAGGTCTCGGAGGTGCTAAGAGTACTAGATATTTAAGATTAGATTGAAGGATAGACTTACGGCTACGCGTCGTACTTCTAGAGTATCTTAGTATACGTAGTCTCGCACGTCTATAATATACATTAGCATCCTAAGCATTACAGACACAACGCCTTTACGATACTAACCTCCTTAAGAGCTCTGTCTGCCTTAATGCAGACAATAGTTATAGCTATTAAGCGAGAATAGAGCCCTATATATGATTAGTATACTATATACGAGCAACAATTAGAGCGAGTATAGCATAGCATAGCATATTATATAGGTGTAGTACTTCTTGCCTCGAGACTTCGAGGACTTGTAGTCTAGGTAGTCCTTTAAGTAGTAGTATCTACGATATATACATTAGTATACCTATATAGAACAGCATAAGATAAAACACTAATATAGTAAAGAACTTATCCTCGTAGAAGTTCTTTACAAAGAAGTCTTAAACTTAACCATTTTGTATAGTTAGAAGCGAGGGAGTCTCCTTCACCTCTAGCTTAGCCTAATCCTACTAAATCATTAGTATATACTATTACACATATACTAGCAGTAAAAGCATAGCTCTTCGGTAGGTAAATGGTCGAGAACTGTAGGGTCAAAGTAGATACAGAATAGCAAAAGTATAAGCTTTAGGATTATAAATAAACTATGAAGATCAAAACTAATCTATTAGGCTTAGAATTTTTATAAGATTTAGGATCAAACATGAACTATCTTAGAACTCTAAGACCTAGAGCAAAAAGGGGTTAGAGGAGGGCAAAAAGAATAGGTATATAGTAAATGAATAATAACTTACTCGTGCTCTTATAGTGACCTTGTTTTTAAAGGTTCGCATATCGAGAAATTTGTTCCGTGCCTATATATAGTATAGTGTAGTAGTAGAAAACTCGGGGCCGTAAACTCGCATAATTACATCGTGTTTAAATTCATATAAAGCATAAAGGAAGTGTATAACATTTCGCTCGTAATACAGTTTTACTATATTCTCCGTATCTTGTTTATAGATAGTCTTTTTATTCGAAGAGGGTTTAGGGTAGGACTAGGGTAAAACACGCTTTACGATATTGTTAGGATTAGCTAGCTAACGGAGCTGAGCTCGTAGGGTCTATTATATGTTAGTATACAATGCAGTACTAAACTACTATACTATATACCTATTTGATAAAAGAGACTAGTATTCTATATTATTTGTACTATATAGTAGTGCTGCTAAAGGATATAGTTATATTTGCTATACTCCCGGTAGTAGTATTAAAATGGCTAAATCTAGAAGTCCTAGATGTCCTAGAAATTGTGCTTCGTAATCGGCTTGCTATATACTTTAAGCTTCGGCTTTAGTCTCTATAATCGAATACTATATACTATATTGTGCTTTATGCTTCAAATTGCTATAGATGTTATCGTCTTAATACTTAAGTAGTTGCTAATTAGGCACTTAGTAGATGAAAATGCTAAGAGGTTAATATATATACTACTACTATTAAACATATGCTAACAAACGAAAGCGCTAAGTATATTAACAATTGCTAAATAACTACTAGACTATACGATACATACTAAGAAGATCTTGCTACTATTAGAGCTATATAAGATATATAATCGAAGCTGTCGATATTAAAGTCGAAGCTTTTAGTAAAGGAGATATTAACCGCATAATAGATCGTATAAATAAATAGTAGTATATATTATAAGAAGATCGTTCTACCTCTTATAGTCTTTCTAGGCTTAAGAGAATATATAAAACAGAAGGAAATAGGGAGTTAGTTCTCGGATATTAGACAATATACGAGGTTAGTTAGTATAGGCATATTAGTACGTTAAAGGTCTCGAAAGCGATTGCGATTGCTATATAAAATTAACTTTGCTAGCAGCAACGGCGGCGATAGTAAGTAAATAAATAGGTAGGGAGCAAATAATAGAGGAACGTTACGTAAAGTGCATATGCGGACGCACCTCCGCGGACTTCTAGCGCTTCTATTAGCCGGAACGCTTCTAGAACCTAAGGAACGGTTCGCATACTAGAACGCTTCGCATACACAACAATTTATCGCTAAGTACAGTCCTAACATCGTTTAGATTGATATGCTGCACTGAAATCTGCTCGTTCCGAACCGTATACAGTTTATCCTATAAGAACAGTGCTATTACAGCTCTTTTGGAGACAACTGTAACGCCACGGTTCCGACAGACCCTATACCCGCGCTAAGGGAGAGGCAAAGGCAGAAAAAGGTGCGTCACCTTCAGCGAGACCTTCGTGTTCAAAGCGCATGTCAACGTTGAGATTCGTGGGTGAGGTTTGCCAGTACAGAGTCTACGGACAGCTGTTGTTGCTTGCAAGGAGTGCTTCCGGAGACGGTTGGACCACACGCCATGCTGTCCTTCGGGATGGGAAGATGATGCAGGGTGTTGGCGGGAAGAATAAGATGGAGCTGATGAAGGAGGGTGACGGCGGCGGCGAGCTGTGGCTTCTCGTAGGCTCGCTTGACCCGGTCCGCCAAGTCCGCTTGGCTTCTCCAGAACCTCTCCACTACAATCGTGACAATTCCGTTTAGCCATGAACCAGGAGAGCGGCGGCTGCGACGATGGCAACGGCGGAAGGCGAAAAGCTGCATCGCCTCATTCACAATCATCGATGCATCCCGGATGTCACTCGCAGCAACGAAGCGCGCGTGCGCGTTCGCATACTCTGGCCTGGTGTAGCAGTACACCATGAATCCTGGAGACACATCGATCACCTCAGCACCTCGCTCGCTTCTCTGTCATAAGCACATGATGAACTCCAAGGCAGCTCCAGGAAAGGCCAAGGCTAGGGGCGAGGGCGATGGCGTTGTCGGGTCGGTGAAGGCGACGAAAGTCGTGAAGAAGAAGGAGCCCAAGGCGAAGGCGGAACCCAAGAAGAAGCTGCCCAAACATCTGCGCCCGCGTAAGTAGTCAAGCGACGCTCTTGGTCTCGCTGCTTGTGACTCTCATTCTTACTGCGACGGCAGTACCAAGCGACCCGCTGTCCCGTCTCAACAGCATCATCCAGCGCTTGAACCTCCCCGCCCCGACCGTTCACATCGACATCGTGACCGAGACCCGATATCGCTTCACCTATGTCGTCAGCAAGAACGCCAACAACCAAGACACCGAGAAAGGTAACAAGGAGAACATCAAGCCTGATATCCTCTTCGAAGCAAGCGGAGACATGTGTGCCACACGCCAGGAGGCTCAGATCGACTCTGCTACCAAGATCCTCCCAGCCTTAGAGGCCATGCTGTTCTCCTCAGCTGCTGGCGCGAACGACACGGCTACTACCACGACTGCCACCACGAATGCCACCACGAATACCACCGCGAATACCACCACGAATGTCGTTACGACTCCGGTCATCACTGCTCCCACTTCCCAGTCAGCGGCTCCGTCGTCTTCCGCGGCAACATCTCACATCTACCGGTCCTTCGTTTGGGAAGAAGAGGATGAATTGGATTGGGACATGGACAGTCTAGGAGGAGAGGATTGACATAGCGGTCTAGAGGAATGAGAGAATGGAGGAGAATCATGAACGATAGCGATACGGAAAATGTTGAGCCGAAGCACAATCAGGGACAAGCTAGCAAACATTGGGGGATCAGCATGATACGAAAGCTGAGCTGCTGCATTGCTGTATCTCCTCAGCTTTTGCCAAATGTGCGTGGGTGGTGGCCATGCATGATTCCATGTTTCTCAACTCTGACATTCCAAAGTTCATCAAGATGGATGCCGAGATAGTTACGAAGCAGAACAAGCACACCGAAATCAACTATTCTCGTCTTCGAGGGAAGAAGAGAATGCCGAGGATGGAGTTTGCTGAGACATAGTCTGGACAGGCAGTCATCATCAATGGCAGTGAACGCTTTTCCAACGCGTGATGTTTTATTTTTGTTTCCAATTCTCGAATGGCATGCCAGACTTTCGGAAAAGAAACACTGTCTGTTCGGCTGTCAGATTTTGGCGAGAGAACGACGAAGGGGAGAGAGAGCTCGCTACTATGGATTCAAAGTCGCTTGTCAGTACGGCCCGCAGAGCCGCCTCCTCCGCAGATTGAGCTGTATAGGGGTATTTGTATATAGAAACACGCTAATTGTCCCGTCTATCGTGCTTAACTAGAGGATAATCGTCTGTTCGAGCCTCGTACGCGCATTTCCATCGATTTCTACTAAATTTTAGTAACAATAGCGACTAGGTCGACTCGTAGTAATACTAGTATACCTCTAGCGCGATTAGACGACGAGTTAACCGCCTCTACTAAGTCAAAGAAGAAGGTATTATAGTCTCTCTAGAAGCCTATTAGTCTGCCGCTAATAAGACGAAGATCTAACTCGACTTAGTAGGCAAAAAGTAGCTCTAAGAGTAGGTCTAGCGCCGGTAAGAAGAGTAAGAAGACTACCGTAATAGAGCCTAATCTAATCGAGGGCCCCTCGGAAACATAAAGCAAGGAGACCGTAGTACCGCCGGCAGAGGATAATAGTAACGTTATGTCTAGTAAAATAGCTATTTCTTCCTCTACCTCTATTACTACCTCCTCTTCCTTTAATATAGCGTAGGAGGCTACTACTACTACTAGTAGCGTGTCCGCTCTTGCCGCCGGCAATATTCCTATTACTGCTCCTAGCTCTTTTAACTCTAATAATAAGCCTAAGATCTTCTACTATACTAGATAATAGACTGTATTTAATCCGGCTAAGAAGGGTGCCGCTCGGTCGCTTACTACGAAGGTAGTAAGCTTCCTTACTACGAGAGACAAAGAGGCATAGGATAGACATACGTAGGCGGCGAAGTTTAGCTAGTTAAATAGCTATTAGCGGCCTTATCGTATTATAATACGTACTAGCGCGGACGGCTCGAAGAATGCGTTTATTAGCGACTAGTACTAAGTAGGCGACGATATCGACGGCGACTTCGTTTATCGACAAGCTCTCGACTATGCGATTAACCTAGTTAAAGCAGGTCGGAAGAAGCCCTTTATTAGTCTCGATTTCTATATAAAGCCTAAGTAACTAGTAGTAGCTAGAAGCCGAGGCAAAGTTAGTAGTAGTAGTAAGAAGTTAAAGAAGAATCCGGATAGCGTTTAAATAAGGAATACTAGCGCTATTATTGCTAAGATTAAGTCAACTAGACGACTAGACTATAAGATATTTAATAAGTAGCTCTATAGCCGTAAGGACTGTCTACAATTTAAGAAGGCAGGCGAGTCTGCTTGCTAGCGTAACCGTAGTATAAAGGAAGTTAGCGAGAATTACTTCCCCTAGTACGAAGCCGCCCTCGTAGAGATTTCTAAGGCTATTTAGAAGGGCGAATATGTCTAGAATAAAGATAGCTCTTAGCTAGATAGGCTTCTATTAAGGATTGAGATTATATTAATCTCTCGCAAATTCTAGCTAAAGTATTAAAAAGATACAGTTAAGCGTATACGCTACGCTAGCGAGTCTAACTCCCCTAGAGGTAGAGGTATAGGTAGAAGCGGAATAGCGAAGCTATTCGGGGAGGTTCTCGGCGGAATGCTACACTACTAGAATAACGGCACTAGTGTTATTCCTAGCACTCTATCGAAGACTCCTATCCGTACTCTTGCTAGATACCGCTCTAGCTATAAGGCGCCGTTTAAAGTGCCGTCGGCGGCGAGGTTTCGACTAACTAAGGACTCGACGAAGGAATTTTTCGACTAGGCTAGCTTATAGCCGGCTTTCGCGGAAACAGACTCTCTACGCGCCTATATCGGGGTTTTCGTAGGCATAGGCTAGTACCTCGACAATATCGCTAATATAGACAAGTCTAACTAGCCTAATAAGCTAAAGGAATAGACTAGAATAAGGTTGCGTTTAAAAGAAGGTATACGAGAATAGCTAGTAAAGAGGGAAGATAAGATTATTGCCGTAGAAGTAGCCGCTACTAAGGAGGGCGAGACCTAGTCGAATTTAGGCCTTCCTTTAGGCTTTATTCTTTTTATAACTACAATATCTACAACCTTGTAATAAGCGGGAGATTCTTAGTATAATCACACTCATTTAGCTGCAATTTAGTATATTAAATTAAATACGTTAGTTATATAACAAATAGAGTAGTAGGCAAGGCTAGCGTTCGAACTGTTTACTTAGTTCTCTGCCTTCGGGGCTTGCCGGCGCTAATAATATTACTCGAAATCGTCGAAATCTATATCTAATTCTAGCTCTATTCCTTCCTCGTTAAATATACTACTCTTAAGGCCTTCTAGGTTATTAAGATGCGGCGGCGACGTATTCTAAACGTATTCGAGCTATCGCGACTCTTCTATATCCAAATCTATTATATTCTAAGCGGCGCTAGCAGTAGTTACGAAGTGATCCGGATTATAAGGCAAATCGACGCTATTAACGTTATATCTAGCGTTCTTAAAGAGACCTCGCGTATAGCGACCTCTATACTTATAAAGACACTAGATTAGATACTTCTTAAAGCTCTCGAATAGCACCTACTTAGAACGGTGCCTTTAGACGGTCTTCTTTAGCAGATTGAATGTCTATTCGATAGGATTCAAATCCGGTAAGTACGGAGGCAGAAACTCGAGATAATAGCCTGCGTCTAGTATAGCTTCTTTAACCCTTCTTCTATAGTAAATACTAGCATTATCTATAATAAAGATTATAGGTAGACTATCTTTAAGGCACGGTAGCACTTCGTCGACTAGCTAGGTTTAAAAGCGCTCGCTATTAATCGAACCTTAGTATACGTACGTATACGGCAAATAGCCGTATATAGTAAATACTAGCAGGACTAACTACCTCACTTCTCGCTTAGCATATTAGTGCTAGATACAAGCTATTCCTTTAGGTGACTATCTATACTTGCGCTAACTAGTCTTCTAATTATAGGTAGTCTCGTCGATAAACACTAATCGATCGACCGGCTACTTTACGTACCTAATAACCTATAACGCTCGAAGTAATAGGTTCCTTTCCTTCGCCTTAATCTGCTACCTTTTACGAGTCTAGCCCTATCTCTTCTTTAGTATTATATAGAGTATACTCGGCTTTAAATCGATACCTTTACTACTCTTATTAACCGGCTAAAGTCGTAGAAACTCGTCTCGAAGAGATTGGATTATTTTAAAGAAGAAGGTGTCCGGTTTATCGTATAGGAGGTCAAAAAGCTACTCTTCTTCTACCGCTAGTAAAAGCCTTCTACTACCCTTCTTAGTACTATAATTAGGTAGGTATAACTCTCTAAATAGGCGCTATTTAACCTAATAGCGATATACCGACCTTACGGTTATTAGCACTCGAGTCTCGGCAATTATCTGCTTAGGAGTATAGCCCTTAGCGAAATAGGACTTTAGAAGCTTCTATAGGCTGCTATCGATCTTAGTTAGACGTATAGTGTATGTAACAATACCTCGGAAGGGTCTATACTACTAGAAAACCGTCGACACGATATCTATAAGATAGTAGAGGATTCTATATATAAAACAGAGGACTAAAGGCCAAGAAACCACCAAAAAAGCGGTGTGGTTCCTCTCTCGGAGGTGCAGGGTTCTCCCCGCACCTAACTGACAAGCGACTTTGAATCCATAGTAAGCTATCGGCGTCGTCTCCTTTTTGTTAGCGCGTATCTGAAGGTATTCTCAACCACAAGCCGAATGCTACCTCTTACGTTACCTCTACCTCCCTCGCTGTCGCTGTCCATTTCTCAATCCTGCATTAGAGTACCAGGTATTCGGCGCCTCAGAAACAACATTGATCGCCTCCATACTACTATCGAAGCAAAGGAAAGGCCGCCATCAACACGACTCCCGAAGAACCATCTCACCATTTCATATCTCAGTCATCACTATTACAGTCCTCCCACACCTCCTGATCTGCCTCAGCCCCATCTGCTGTGCCTCTGCTACACTTTATACCTCCCGAAACAGGCGACAGCGCTATGTTCAGTTCTGCGATCGTCACATCGAAGTCACCTTTCCCGAACGCTTTCTAAGGCTCCTCCCCATTCATCAAGTCCTGGTGCTTCGTGGCTGGCAGTGCAATGTCGACGGCATTGGGCGACTTCTTCTCTGCGGCAACAGTGGTGGTGCTGGTGGCAATGGTGGTCCACAGTGCAGAGGAAGAGCTGGATGCTGTATCAGCTATTGTCTAATGAGTTGAGATACCTGAGAACGCCGCCACGGACGTTGCGAGGAGACTTGCGCTGCTTTAGCGCTACTGCTGCTGCTTTTGATGAAGTAGAGCTAGTGGACGACGCAGTTGCATGCGGCACTCCGGGGTGCAGCAATTCGATCATGCCCGATAGTGAGGCTTGCACTGGAACTGGAGCTGGAGCTGGAGCTGCGTTCACACACCACCTCTGGGATCACAGCCCGCTTGGAGTCATTCTCCCCAGAACTCATGCAGCTGTCGCGTACGAGCGCAGCCCATCCTTCGCTTGACCCGACACCTTCCCGCGACTCGTCACACTTCTTTCTCCTCGGCCACGAGATGAGATTTTTCTTTTGCTTGGCTTCGTTCTCATCTCTCTCCCATTCGATAACTTCGTACACTTTTTTTCAGCAAACGTGGTGTGAATTCTGCGAGCGAGCCAACCTTTGTGCGAGCGAGATGGGCGTCGTAGATGAGGCTGACTTCAGTGTAGTCGTGGTTGGCTCCTGTGGTAAGTGTTTGTGACGCTGCAAAGGTCTGAAATGCGAGGAGGTAAGAGGATTTCGAACACCAATTGTACTGATATGCATACCCTAGGTATCTGGGCTATACATCTCTCATGACTGAGCACGCTATCTGACCAGAGTGGCAGCTTTGCACGGAGTACCAGGAATGAGCATTGGCAGGCTTTCCAGGTCGCGAACTCACGACTAAGACGGATATGAAGCAACTCGCTTCTTCCACGCTTGCAAGGTCGGCCGAAGGGCTCAAGTGAATTTAGACGGCAAGCAGCCGAGTTTTCCTTTCGCTCGACTTGGAAACCGTCTTGTTGCCTGATCGAGATGTGTGCGGAAGAGTTCGTTCGAGGAGGCTAGGAAATGGACGGAATGGGAGGCAAGCAGGCATCGACCAGAATATCACGGCAATGGCAATGCTCGATGGAAGAGATGTATCAGCCAGCTAGATGCAGCAGATGTCTTTTCGGAAATCAGAGCAGTAATAAGGAAACGCTGCCGGTCATCTACCATTGCCTGTCATCGTCCTGCTTCGCATTCTCAAGGACACAGATTCGCATACCGGCGTTAACAGCTATCTTGTTCGTCTGGCCTGTTCCCATTTCCCCAAAGACTGCCTACCAGGATCATGTCGGCTACGAATTTGTCCGACGACCGCAAGAAGGCCAGCTCACAGCGCCAGGAAATCCCCTCCTAGCTTTCCGAGCTGTGGAATTCAGCGCAAGCCCCAGCATGCCTGAGAATCCTTTCATGAGTCTTCACTCTTCCCCGTCTGACTCCTCTGATTCTGGCAACGACTCCTGCGATCCCGCGTCACCAACATTGGTCTCTGCTGTCCCTCTCGACAGTACCACCACATCATCTGGATCTTCCTTATCGCCTGAAATCAGGATCATACAGACGTTTGACTTACGACTAGAATTCCTCAAGCTATGAAGGTATTTTCTCGATAGCAACAGCACATTCCCTACAGCTTCCTTGTCGACTGAATCAGGACCACGCAGTCGTTTGACTTACCACCAGCGCCCATCAAGCCATGAAGATAGCGTCTCGACAGTACCACCACATCATCTGGATCTTCCTTATCGCCTGAAATCGGGATTATGCAGGCGTTTGACTTACGACTAGAACTCCTCAAGCTATGAAGGTATTTTCTCGACAGCAACAGCACATTCCCTACAGCTTCCTTGTCGACTGAAATCAGGACCACGTAGTCGTTTAACTTGCGTCCAGCGCCCATCAAGCTATAAAGATAGCGTCTCGACAGCAACACCATGGGATCTGGATCGCCCTTATTGCCTAAAACAAGGACTATGCAGATGTTTGACTTACGACTAGCACTCATCAAGCTAGAAGACGACTCTTCACCTCCTCTATGGCTCTCAACTGCCCCGACTCGAACTTCGCTGCCTCTAGGCGAAGAGACCTACGGCTTCACAGGCCTTGATGCATCCCTGCCTGGAGCAGGCTTTCGAGAAGTCATCGGCGGGGAGTAAGAGAAAGACGAGATGATAGCCAGCGCACAGGATAAATAAATGACCGTTTCTGCACTTCTGTTGCCATTTCACAAACATCACAAGCAGCTCAAGCACTTATCACAGGCCAAAAACCTCCATCGCTGGTTCCTATCTGCTGGTAATTGAAGCAACATTGAGACGCCTGAGCCCAAATTGCTTGTGCAAAGACATGCATTCCATGAGTCATGTCGTCAATCGTCACCTCCGCCTTGGAACTCTGACCTATACAACCACGACAACTTCTCCAGCGCGCAATCAAAGCTCGCATCAGATGGCAGCTCTGGCGAGGAGGACGTACATCAGACACGATTGGCGAGTGTGGCAGCGGGAATTTCAGCTTTGCAGAAGCAACACATGAACGACATCCAGACAGTGCTTCGCGGCGATGAGCGCAACACCTCACTACTCCTTGCTAGCATGCGTTGACCCAATCTTTCTGTGCACAGATCTTGATACCCGTCAACGTCAACGTCACGTAGCAACAACAGGATCGTAGTCTACCCTTCTTAGTACGTCGTCACTCCCTACGCCATGTCGTCTTTCAAAAGTTCCGGTATCGGCAATGCTCAGGCTCGCCATGTCTTCATTGGAGGCTACCACAACATCCGCGTTGCTGGAAGGTCCGTCAAGCACTGGATCTTTGTCACAAAGGACAATTCCTGGGACCTCGCAGAATTCTTTCAAGCAATGCCGAAGCGCGCCAGCAATGGCAAGAAAGCAAGCTTGCCTCTTCAATCTTCCTGGCCAATACCTCGGCGTTTCGAATACGACAGCGATTTCCCGCCGCGCCGCAGCACGCTGAACGAACATGAAATCGCATAGTACGACTCCTATAACCAAGATTGATTCAACCTCTTCGGATGTACTCATCGACTTGCCGCAATTTCCAAACTTCGATTGAACAGCTTGCTGGGCCTGTTCCAAGGCCGAGTCAGCAGAAGAGTAAAGATCATTTTCGAAGCCACGTATGCAAGCACGGTTTACCCGCTTGCCATCGCTGAGTTGGAGGCGACTCCGATTACCTCGAACATGTTCGGGGGAAAGTCTAGCTTACCTAACGAGCTTGGAACTTGGATGCGGAATCATTAGAAGAAACCGCGGGACTTGAATTGCTCGCGTCGAATCGAGTTGAGTGCCATGGTAATGGAGGCAGAAGCAGAAGTCCGACCAGGGTGAGACGCTGCGAGGCCTCTGTTCAAAGTCGTTTCGCCTAACACTGCTACCTCCCAACAGGCTTGTGGATGAAGAATCGCGATGGAAGGTAGGCCACTAGGTTGGCTAGGCAGGTGTACGGCTAGGCATTAATTCAGGCACTCTAAGGGTTCTTCCTCCTACAAGCCTGAGAACAAACCGTCGCAAACAGCTAGCTTTTGCCCTCCCCTACGATAATACGACAATACTATACTATCGCAATACACCGAACACTTAGAGGCCCTTCTACGCGCTAAGTTCTCGGCCCTCCGATGTTCTATACTAAAAATCTATCGCGTTACTGCCGCTATCTTGCCCTTAAGGGCAAGCTTAAAAATGTAAAAGTTCGGGCAAGTTGTCGTAGTAGACTAAAAATATATCCTATAGCGTTAGGATTAGCGAGTATTTTGTATAGAAGCGATTCTAGATCGTACTATAACGTACAGCCATCTTATATATTATATATTACTAAAATGCATAGTTGTAGAGATATAGCTAAAAAGCATGTTTTTTTGTTCGGGCAATTGTATATAGGTAGAACGGTTTGTCTTCAGGCGCTCCGCTGTACCTTCTACCTATCTATATCCGGTCTAGTCTTATCACGTGGCTGATACAACACTCGGAGCGCCTGAGAGGAGGTAGTAACACTGCTGGACCGTCCCTGTCAGTTTTCTTCGTATGCACAAGTTTTCAGACACTGGCTCGACACTGCCGCGGCCGCTTGCTCCTCATAGTGTGCTGGAATGGAGTTGGATAGCTAGAGGCAGCGAGCAGTGAGGTGCTTGACACAATTGAGAGTGATCCGAGCCTTCGATGGTGTGAAGTGAAGCTCTGTGATGGTCTGTGGTGCCGAAACTCTGCTTGGATCAAAGGCATCTCCAAACAGCCAACTCCTTATCAGCACGAAGGTGCCGAGGGCGGTGTGAATCCCATTTGCGGCTCTACAGCTATTACTTCAGTGGCCACGGAGCTCCACACCATCACATGGAGAACATTGTGCCTGCGGCGTCCAAAGGTTCCCCATGTGCTCATTGACCTGACTATAGAATGTGTGTGCATGGATTCCTCCAAGCCGTGACATCTACCTCCAGCAGATAATGTGGAGTGATCGTACCTCCACGCTCGGCAACACACGCCGGCTGAGCCAGACATCGCCGGAAGGACTGAACATCTACGGGCTTCACGAACTCGAAAGCATGCAGCAGCTCATTCCTTGCTTGAAGCCTGGTCATATGTACAAGCCTATAAATTTGACATGCCCCCAGAAGCCCACAGCATCGTCACTCATTCAACCCCATCCCATCCCAAACCATCAAATCCCCAAACCTAACATTCTCCCACCTAACCATCACCTCCCGCCCGCCAACCAACCTCATCGCCACCTTCCCCGCATCATACCCACACTCCCCAACCACCCGAGTCCCACTCTTCACCGGCTTCCCACTCTCACACTCCTCCACCTTGCCTTTCCGACGCAGAATTTCGGCGTTCCAATCCTCGAGAGCTGCTGCGTTGATGTGTGATTCTCGCTCCCATGAACACGGCCAGGGTTTGCCGTTGGGTTGGGTTCCGGCCCATTGGATGAGGTATTCGGGTTCGGGGTTGACGTTTTTCTTTGCGGTTGCGGTTGACGGTCGCTGGCGGACGATTTTGGAGATTGTGTACCATTCTGTCGAGGGGCTTGGGGGGATCTTGTTTTGCTTTGTCTTCGGCTCCTGCCCTTTCTTCGCCCCCTGCTTTTGCGGCGGCTGAGTCGTGGTCGTGTTTCCTACATGGGCGACTTGTACGTTCGCTGCTGGCACGCCGACATGTACATCTCCTCCAACCCGTTCCGCGACTTTCTCGGTCAGGTTCTCTTTCTCGTCATCGGCGGAGAGGGAGAGATTGAAGGGATCGCGATGTTTCTTGGAGTTGTACACGATTCGGGGCTTTTTGAAGCGGCCTCCTGGAGAAATGCCGCTGCCTGCTGGGCGCTTGAGCTTCGGCCTGGAGACCCAGTCGGGGCTTGCGCATGCGTTATCCATGGGTTTGCTGTGCGGTGTTGTGCATGTCAGTGTTGAATGTTGGTTCCAGTTGGTTGTGCTGCTTGTTTACGCGACGCGACGCGACGCGATTGATCTGGCTTTCGGCGTTCGGCCCGCTCCGTACGTACAGTACCACCGCGGTCTCGACTCCACGCACGCAAACATTAAGGCCGCATTACTGAATGGCAGACACCCACAGCCGCGCGTCGACAGCGAGACTGGAGCTCGATGGCCATGAACCCAGGACGCTGGCACTCTGGGGGCAAATATGGCCTGAGCAGTGCCGATGCCAGGCTCCCACGGCGGCTCAAAAACTTGGCGAAATCTTCGATGCCTTGTTGCAATGTGCCAGATCGTGGCGACCTCGACAAGTCGTGTGCGCTCAGGTCCGCGTCAATAATATGCGGTGCTGCCTGGTGAAGACTTTGGTGATGTGGAGTCCGTCAAGAAACGGGCTGGTTTCTTCTGGCCGTGATTGCTACCAGACACCAGCATGTTCTCTACTCGTGGCGACGCACATCAACGCAGCCATGAAAATGGTGGCAGTTCAGCGCTGCGGTGAGCCTAGGTCTCTCACCACGACTTCCAGATATCCAGCACTACCTACTACTGGTCTTGGTGAAAGCGATGACAGCATCCAGCGGTAAGTGACGGCACTATGGAGAGCGTGATCAATACTCCGATGATTGGGTCTAGGAAAGACTGCGATTGCTGAAGAGAGTCTGACGATATCGGCCAACATGCTGCGGAGTACTGCTATACCAACTCACCCCTAGAGTCCATCGTCTCGTCTCATATGCGTACACATACAGGGCTCCAGGAGAGCGCCGTCTCTCCTCACGCCACCCGGCCTTCGTCCAGTCACGCGACAGACTTTGTATTGAAGTCGGTCGGAATCAACAAGTCCCAGACTCCAGCAGGATTTCTCTCCCGTACCTCTGGCATTGTGCTTGCCCGTCCCGTCCCCCCCGTTCCCATCACCAAAATCAGATGATTCAGCTGGATATAACAAGTTCAGGAGAGGTCAGAGACCAATTTCGCCTGCCATGGCTTATGAAGCTGGGCACGAAAGTACGCACTCCGTCTTGCATGCGTAACACCGATGAGCTTCGGGAAACCGTTCATACTGCGTCTGCAGCCATCTGTGTCAATAGTTGCCGTGCTTCCACCTCACTGCCTAGCACCAGGCGGAGTATTGAGGACACTAGTCTTTGGAATGCTGCTTGTTACGCCCTACTAGAGGAATACCCTCGGTTTCAAGAATCAAATTGTACTCCAATACGGCCCTCGACGGCTTTCTTTTATACCGTACATGCACACGTTCAACACTGTTCCTCGATCTTCTCGAAATCATGGCCATCACCGCCGCGTACGCAAAGCAATCCCAGCGGGCGCCTGCTTACCTTCGTCCTCAGGCTTCAATTCTTCTCCAGTTCCTCCAGTTCCTCCATCGGCATTCTTGGCATGGCGGGTTCGATGTGCCTTTACCTAGTCAGCGATCAGGATGATGCCGTTCCGATAAACGCAGCCGAATGAGGATCTGGTCAGCAATCGCCGCTCAGCTTCTCCGCAGGACTCTATTGCCTTCGACTTGCTGGAATTCGAATGGGATGAGGATAGAACTGCCTTGTCCAAAACTACGACTGCCGCCTTCGGCACTGTAGCCATGAGTAGCCATCTTGCTTCCGCGTGAAGAAGACGTTCTAGGGCATCCTCAGGCTACCATCAGAGCTCAAGCTGTAGCCAGCACACGCCATCTCGGAGGCCGTCTTTGCTCTCTTTCTGTCGACAAGGTGTCCCCAGCACGCGCAATTGCCGCGATGGACTAAGTGCCGCCCCTTCATCATCAAGGCGTCCGATTGCTTGCAAACTTAACGTAGATCCCCCTCCCGCTGTTCAAAACAAGATCAAGATTCAACTCTCACAGGTCTACGTAACGTCGGAGTGAAAGTGACGAGGCGCGGACCGCTAAATGACAAGTTGCTATTCGCTGTGATCCTTACTTCTCAAGGATTTGGGGAATACCGTAGAAACTCATGGCCTAGCCTATGGGCTAATTAGACCTTCGCATACAGCGTGTTGTATTCCAGAAGGGGCCTATTAGCTAGGGGTGGGCGTAGTAACCAGTGGAAACCTTGTTTGACCACCCGCACCATTGAATTGAATGCTATGGCCTGTCGATGACATTGTTGATACCACGCTCTTTTGAAGGTGTTGTTCTAGGCACGATCGACCCACTGGTTTTCGCCGTCGCGCCCCCGTCTACGGACTGAACCGATTGGAGACAGCCTTGTCTGCAATCAAACCTAGACAAGGCCAAGCCCCGAAAAGAACGTTTGAACATTAATGAGATACAGGCATTATCTGCTTCTCCCGTTGGATAAGGTAAACAGCAGTCGCAGGAAGCAATGTTGGTCTATACGGATTTTCAAAGTTACACTGTGGTGCAGCTTATAGATAGTAGTGGACATACCAATGTGAACACTTTAGTCCACGAGCTTGGTAGAGTTTGTAGCTCGTGGTTCTCTATCCCTAGGACTCGCAGGGCCCGTCCTCCTTCATACATACTTCCGGCGATATTTCCTCCCCTATGTGTGGAAGAGCCTCCGAACCCTGCGAATACTGTTTTATCCAACAACAGAAGCAGACCAGGCTTGTATTGAGTTGCAGTCTACAGTACTATCCGGGCGGCAGACGCAGGTCACACTCGGCTCTTGATTGAGGGTGTACTGTACTTATAAAAGCCGCCTATCTCCCCCTCTCTCATTCCCCGTCCGTCGTAGCAGCACCCTTCACTCATCATCACTGCTCTCATCATCATGAAGTCCCTCATCTTGGCAATTACCGCTCTCTGGAGTGTTGTCTCCGTTGTGGAGGGCATGAATGGCTTTCTGGTTCGCTCGATAGACGCGGGTGTTGCAGCAACATACAACAAGTTCAAAATCCGTGGAGTGGTATGAAGACTCCCGACCCCTAATTTGTTCTTTGAATTACATACAGCTGACAGCTTTCCAAAGAATCAACATGATGAAGCACCCTGGGCATTTGGCGGCCCTCCAGGTGCTCCTGGCCCACCTAAAGGGGCTCCTGGCCCACCCAAAGGGGCTCCTGGCCCAACCAAAGGGTCTCCTAGCTCACCTAAAGGGGCACCAGGAGGAGGGGGAGGTTGCAACAATGCGGGATACACCTGTGGTGCTGGCGAAACGTTAGGGTGCAAAGGGAGCACACCGTGGTGCTACGTAAGTAATGTTGGCAATTGACTATCGTCGCTTTGATTTACACTGGGCTGGGCTGACTTGCTATGTAGGTGAAAGACCCAGTTGCGGTGTGCAAGGCCCAAGGTGGCGCATACCAGTACACGTATACCGACCCCAAAGGCAACTTCTGCTGTAACCACTGTGACGGCACCCCAACTTGTCCGTCAGAGTTGCAGCAAGCACAGAAGGAAAAGCATCCTTGCGGCTAACGTTGAGGGATGGATATGTGGGGTTGGTCGATGTGTGTGTGGTTTGGTCGAGTACCTGTATGTAAGGTAGTTTCAACCGATTTGCCCGTAAATTCGCTTCTACTCTCCCGGCTCTGCCTCATACCCTGCAGTCTCACCCGTACAACAAGCCCAGCCTTTGGACCACGGCACTTCCAATCATCGCGCCCATGCCGTGTCTGTACCAACCTCTTCTGAAACTCTGAAACACACTTTGCTAGAAGGTTCCCTTCCCTGAAACACAACAGTCAACCTTTGCATCGTGGTCGAATTGATGTGCCGATGTCTGACGCGTACAGGCCCTCCTCGCTCTTTCGCCTGGAATAATGAAGGAAGATCGCACCACCATCGGCGCATAGGGGAGGGGAGCGTCATGTCGTTCCCACCTACCCCTCCATCATCCCCGAGAGCGACTCACTGCTATATGATGCTCGGCCAGGAGGATATGAAGCGAGCGATCACAGCCTATGTATGGACCTTCACATCGTCCGTTCAGACTGCACATGAGGACAGGATGACCAAAGACAGCCATAGCTTGTATGCAGGACTGCCGAATGTTCTGCCTCGAGCTCTCGATAACCGCGGGATTCGAATTACTTAATCGCGCTGGGTCCAGAGCGCTGTCATGCCGTTGATGACGGGGAGATGGGAGATCGGTCATGGCCATCTTCAGTGCGCGGTTTACGAAACTGCAGAGGGCAGAGCCACCGGTGGTGCAGGTGTTACAGCGTCGCTGCAGACAAACCACGCAAAAGAGGAGGTATCCGAATCGGTCATGGGAGAACGGGAGTGGATGATGAGAGTAGAACGCGGCCGAAGATGGTCTTTGGTAAACAATGGAGGACGGGAAGGGTGGATTTCGGCATCCAAGGCAGGCAAAGGACGGGTGTGAATGAGCACAGGCGGATACCGAGGATGGCCGGTGTTGATGGATGGACGCTCCGGGGCTAGGCATGAAAGAGAGGGAACTGGTGGGCCTTGTCAGTTATGCATCTCTGAAGAAAAGAGAGCCAGATACCGCCCTACCAATGCAAATAGAGATATGCTATTCATACGAGTGCATGAGGGAGTCTTCAGCTGCAAGACAGTCTCGCATATCCCCTGCAACACCTCGCCGAGTTCACGATACATTCAAGCCCGCAGAATGCGGGAGAGGCTCTCGACGAGAAGACAATCAGCTCCCGAGCGTCGCTGTTAGAACTTGAGCAGAAGATCCTACCGACACCCTTGCATGCCGCCTCTTATGTGACTTCAGCCATCCTGTCCTCCGCCGCACATCAAGTCGCCTTCTGGGCTCTTGTTCAGCTCATCTTCACTCTCTGCTCCGCTATCGCTACTCGTTTCAAGCTTAGGCTTTTTGCGCTCGCTGGACAAACTGTGGCGGGACAAGCTACGCCTCTTAGACGATGTGTGCTGTAGGTCTGTCGCACCGCACGCTACTGGCAGCGAGCTTTGGAATCGGGTTGAGTACTTGAGATAGTGTCAGCTTCAATATGCACTACCGG